AAATAATTGGGCGGGGGAGGGGGGGGGCTTTAAAATAGGCCTAGTGACGCCACTGCTCATGACTATAGGTGATGGATGGAAAGTTGACAAACAAGTAAACTGACTATTTTTGTTGTGGTTGAGCTCCTTTTTCACCACAACAGAACAGAGCCTTTCTATGGGTACACCTCAAGTAAGGCATAATTTGTGGAGAGGTTGGGGGGGACGGGGTTATGACCTCCATAATACATTGATCCAGTGAATATAACCCCCATTAAAATGATATTGTTTGCTCAAACACAATAGAAATTAACACAGTTGCAACTCTCTTGTTGTTTTAGGTAACTTTGACCTGATTTAAAAAATTTACAGTCATATGTATGTTTAAGCATAACTGCTGAAAATGACATGCAGGGTTTTAGAGTACAAGCCCCTCCCCACTTAATGGTAGACCTAAAGTTATGCCCTTGCTCAAGTATCTGTTTAGATGAATATTGTTTTAAAAAAAAGACTTGAAAGGACTTGAAATTCCAAGTTTCATATTTGGTATATCTGACAGTTGCCTCTCTTGACTTGAGACTTGACTCTGACTTGAGGATAAAGACTTGAGACTTGCAAAACAAAGACTTAGTCCCACCTCTGAGGCAGCAGCAGTGGTTCCCACTGATGCTTCACAGGAAGAAGGTCCTGGGTTTGATCCCCAGCTCAGACCTGGGGTTTTTCTGTGCACGGTTTGCGTGTTCTCCTCGTGCTTGCAGGGGTTTTCTCCAGTTACACCAGTTTCCGCCACAGCACAAAACATATGAACAATAGGTTGCCTTAAAGGCACAGTGTTTAGGATTTTGTCAAGTCTTTTAGTCGAAATTGAGATAATCACTAAAGACAATAATAAAAAAAAACATGTCTAATCATTGCAGACAAAGACCTTGTTTTATTATTTTTACCTTATAAAAAGCTGTTTATATCTCCATGGTCGCAGGTCGCCACTACAGGCAGCCGCCATCTTGCACCGCCATCTTGTCTACGAAGGCTCATGAGGGACAAACTGCGGTGGCGACGTCAAAAATGGTTTTAGTTGTAATACTATAAATGTAGTATTTGTTGTCTGTCATTGTAGCTGGGATAATTTTACTTATTAAAGCTCATAATCTTACCACTTGAAACATCACTAGCCCTGAAGCTGCTGGTAGACATCGCGGTTGGAATCATCAAAGGTTTTTGACACCTGAGAGACACCGTAGCAACTCCTTTGCATTTGGAAGCAGGGAGTGGGGGTGGGGGGGGGAGGACCAGGGAGGATGAGTCAACCACTCAACCACTAGATGTCGCTGAAAACAACAAATCTTACACACTGTGCCTTTAAGGCCCAGAGTGCCCTTGCAGAAAGAGATCTGTGATCTCTGTGGGATTTTCCTGGTTAAATAATGGTAAAATAAATAAAATGATGAGATAACCAGGAGAAGCGTCCACCAAACTGGAGCCAGGCGCTGGCCCAGGGAGTGAGGAACAGGGGTAGGGCCTGCATACACAGAAAAGCAAGGATTAGTTTTCATTACAATTATTTTACGAGATGTAAGAGCCAGACACAGAATCATTTAGAGACTACATTCCAGCCAAGTGTTGTGACTCCAACTAGCCTCATCAGGAGGACTCCAGAGCCCCCCCCCCCCCAACACTCAAGAACAGTACTGTTAGAGTCCAACCTGCACCAGGAATGAACTCAGCTTTGGTTATTGGACTTGATAGCTCCTAAAACTGACCCCCAAACACCAGTTCTACAAAACACCCACTAGAGATTTAGACGTCAACGAGCACTGAGAAACTTTGGGTGAAACACTCTGGTCCAGTATTCCACGTCTTGGAACAAGTTTATTTCTCAGAATAGAATAGAATAGAATAGAATAGAATAGAATAGAATAGAATAGAATAGAATAGAATAGAATAGAATAGAAACACCCTTTTTGTCCAGAGGTGAGAAATTCAGGTGTAATAGCAACAGCAAAAACAT